GCAACGGAAGTGTCGTCGGAACCGCGCATAAAACCTAGTTCACATTCGACGCAACGCCGACGGTACGGGACGTAAGGGCTTGTCGGCAGGGCTGGGGTGAGCTGTAAAATCCTGTACGATTCGTACGACACGACATGCAGTAGTCGTTGCGACGTTAAACGTCGAATGGCGCGAGTCATAAGGCACGGTCCGTAACGGGGTGACTTTCGGACCTAATTTCTCGTTTTTCGGGACTTCTTTTCAATTATTTCTCCTTGAAAGAAGCGGAATCAAGTTCACAATACTAGTTTTTCATGAAGACCAAAAAATTAGCCCTGAAAGTTGTGGCATTCAAATAATAGCCCCAGGAAATGACAGAATAGTTCGTCTGTCACGCTTCTGAACTATCCCTGAATACAAAAAGTGACATGAGATCTTATGTTGCTAAAATTCAACTCAAGTCCGGCTAGCCATTCTGTGAGTTATCATGGGAAGCGCAGTGTTCGAAATGCTAAAAATTTCCAAGTACGAATCGGGAGTAGTCGGGGCACGACGCCGTCTCTTGTTCACACTCGAATTGCAGCCGTTTTGCTTGCGTCTCAGTCTACGTCCGTCTACGGTATGAAAAGTTGGATCGATCCATTTCTTCCCGTCGCTTCCCGAACCGTACGGTAGTACGGTTGCGTTCCCGTCTGGTGTTCACATTGGACGCCATCAGACCGTCCCGTCCCTTCCCGTCGATCCTTATGTCGCGTCCCGTCGCGCCCCGTCGAATGTGAACTAGGCTTAAGGGAGGCAATCCACATATCCAGACGCCATCCGAAGGTAAAGTACGAAAGGAGGATGCAATTTTATCAGGTATGGTGTAGTTCCTTTCCACTTTGTGCTGCCTGAAATAGGTCCACCTCACTAGTTTTTCTCGTCAATCCTGATCATGGCTCCGGCCAAAAATTGGATTGAGATATTGTAATTTGCAGCGAAGAAACCACTTGATGGTGTGTTTAGGCTACGGTTTTTCATAGTTCATATTATTATTATTATTATTATTATTATGAAATGACCCAGAGGCAATGTGCCTATCGAGGGGTTCATTTGATTGAAAGAACAGTAGATGTAGATGTATGTACAAAGAGAAGTAGGGATTGATGAGGAGAGAAATGGGGAAAATAAACTGCAAGGTGGCGGAATTCCGTTGATTGCATAAGCATAGTCAGCTGTAAATTTCCTGAGGGCAGCTTTGAACTTATAGAGCGAGGCTTCCGATGTTAGACTGGGGGGTAAACAGTTCCATAGAATAGCAGTTCGGAACATGAAGAGAGACTTAGACATATAATAACTATTATGTTCTTTGTGAACTCGGATGGTGAGCCAAATGAATTATAATTTTATTATGTTCTTGTTCTTCACAAACGTAACAAACCTTGAGATAATATCTGCTGGTTTTGATCTCAGCACCATGTACATCCATATATGGATGGACGCCGCTGTGAAGTGGGACCCCCATGTTGACGCGATGGCGAAGAAAGTTGTGCAGAAGATTGGAGCATTGTGGCGGTCCCGCAGATGTCTGAGCCTCAGTAGTCGCATCCAGTATGTGAGGTCAGTCATCATGCCTGACCTCCTATATGGGTCTAACGCCTTCTCTTCCTCCCTCAAGGTTTCGCAGCTTGATCGCCTTCAGGTCCTGCAGAACCGAGCGGCGAGAGCGGTATACGGTTTTCCGCCTCACACCTCGGCTCAGCCTCTGCTCGAACGGATGTCCCTGTACAGAGTTGTGGAGTGCTACGCCCAGAAGCGGCTCGTCCTGGTGTGGCGCTGTGTCAATGGGAAAGCCAGCAGTGTCCTCCAGGACCTATTCTCACCATCAGCTGGCAGCACCACCCGGCACCAGGTTTCCAGGGGCCTCACTGTCCCCTCGGCACAGTCAGAAGCCGGCAGATCTCGCCTGGCCTTCCAGGCAGCCTTGGCCTGGAACGCTCTCCCAAGGAGTGTAAGGGAGATCAAGGCTGCTCAGCAATTTAAGCTTGCTTCCATCCCCCTACACCTTGCAATGAATGCTCTGTCTGACTTTTCCCGTCCACACACCACGTCATTTACTCTTCTCTGCGTGCTTGTGCGCTTATGAACTCTTTGTGTTCCCTCTGTTGACGCTTCAAAATCGCTCTATTGACACTGCAAAATCGCTCTGTTAACGCTACAAAATTGCTCTGCGTGCTTGTGCGCTTATGAACTCTTTGTTTTCCCTCTGTTGACGCTTCAAAATCGCTCTATTGACACTGCAAAATCGCTCTGTTGACACTACAAAATTGCTTATCATCTCCCTCCCTCCCTCCCTCCCCCCCCCCTCTCTCTCTCTCTCTCTCTCTCTCTCTCCCCGTAGCTCTCTCCCTTTTGAAATTCGCTTCCATAGAATTGGGCACCATTGCCCGTTTGGCCTTGCGAAGCAAAATAAAAATCAACAACAACAACAACACGATTGTACACATATTGTGAATGCAGCACAATGGCAGTGGTAGCGAGATCAAACCCAGGTCATTCCACCGTACGTCTCCGAGTCCTTGCTGGCTGGGTGCAGGTGACGAGAAAAAAACTGGAGAGTGAAAGAGAAAATTAGTGCTAGAGTATGGCTGGTCCCAGGCTGGTCTACCAGGTGGTGTGAGTCAATTTTGTCCTTGAACGTTTCTCGCTCGCAACCTTACAGCAAACCTATAGACGAGAAAAGGATAGTTAAACTGTGGAAATGGAGGACTAAAAATCAAGGCCTGGTTTTTGAGTAATTGGACGATTCAATTCGTGATAATAGTCGTTTTGTAACAGGATTCACACAGGATTACGAGGTAGGCAGCACATAGATATTGACAATAATGGTGTGACATTTGAAGCGATATTCCGCACTGGAGACGGGCAAAGTTACAGTGGGCACACGCCAGCACAGATATTACATGGACTTCAGCAGAAATCAGCAGTATAACACAATATTATGCAACTTTAATGCATTGATATATCTAGCGTATAACGTGCTATATGAAAATTGCCAACTGCACAAGATAATTAAATTTTCATGTACTCACAAGTTAGCGACTGTTGCTAACTGGACGGGCCAAAATGAAGATTGTATCATCTCCAGAAAGTCTGAACAGGATGTGTTGACTGTGTTACTGCTAATGTGCTGCTGTTCGATCTCGATGTGTGAACAAAACAACATCAGTCTTGTGTCAGCTGGATATCTGCTGGTATTGCCCTATAGTGGATGCTGTGGATCTGTCAACAAGGGCATTTGTCACTTTTTTTCGCAGTCAACATACCCGTACGTCGTGTGCGTGCATAAATTTAACCCCCAGATCAGTCTTCATTTCTTTATGGAGAAGTATTGCTTTATGGAAAAGAAAAGTGCATGCTCGTTTAATTGCGATAGTAGTACTCTGCAAGACGAGAATCGTCAAATGAATCGTCAATGAGACATTGATTCCCAGCGATAATGGACGAGAGTGGACCTGCGCCGAGTAACCAAGCTTGCGCTGCATCAGAAGCCGAGCCTGGCGAGAGTAATTGTGAAGATCCCGTGCTAACACGCATGCCGGGTCCAGTACAGGAGGTATTCTGCCAGTAAGGCCTAGTACAGGCGTTCGTCCTCCGTAGTCAGGGCAACCAAGACCATAATTATTATTCTCCAACAGTCCTGTATGCCGTACAATTTCATGCTGTCACGTGACTCTATTAATCCTGGCACTACATTATGGCTACGCGGAAAGTCGGATCATTGTGGTCTGGTGTCCGGTATAGCAGACATCATGGGTATATTATCATTTTTTGGCGACCTAAATCTTGCAGAAAAAGGTGAGGTCTACTGGACCACGGGTGAATTTCTTTGCAGTTCATTTGCTGCCGGATGTACACAGCCCTCGGAATGTACTGGAATCGTGAAGTTTGACGTACAGTACCAGCTAGCGGCAGATTACAGCGGCTATCAGCTCACAATCAGACATATTTCGATCGATACTGGAGAGTTCATATTCCCGACACTAGGCTTTATAGATGATAACATTATGCGTATTGCCCTTAATCCCAGTATGGATTTCATCTCATATTTCCTGTTATCTGTCATGTGTGTCCTGGGCTTGATTGAGAAGTCCTGATTGTCCTGAATGTCATGTTAAAGTACATGTACATGTTTATGCATGAGCCATGCTGATGCGTGACGTCATCACAGAATCTACATTGTACATGGAAGGGAAGCATAGCAGGTGTGGACAAGTTAGCATGGCGTTTAGCATAGCGGATACAAGTATTGTTTCATATTTTGTCAAGTACCTCATTCTCATAGCGCGTCCGTCAAGGCTGTCGATATTCTCAAACTCCCGGCACACCCCCTTCCCGCCCCTTCTCTCCCCTCTCTCATACCAATCACCCCGGATACTCTGCGCGGGACCAGCGTACGTACAGCAGAATTCAGGTCCTGATTTTTCCGTAGCAGTTTCGCATTACGCCATCGCTGTCTTTTACCTCATAATTATCATGAGGAGTTTTGAACATCAAAAATTGGCTTTTGAGCAACACTGGCTCACACCGTATCGCTTTTTTCACAAATTCATTTTAGAAAGAAAAAAATTCAACGTTTTGGTTTATACGAAGTGCTTCAGTCTCCCCGCGAAACCACGTCTCAAGCTCAGGAGCCTAACCCGGTGTCTTTTGATCTCCGCCACGTGACACGTGCTGTGTGTGAGGCGGTCAATGCAGACTTAGACTAAGTACCCCTTGGAACTCATTAATGTCCTCAGTATGTGGACAGTTCACTTCGTATCCTGCACAATGCCTTGCAGACTGTGCTTTCCAAGTACGTTCCCCTTCGTGGCTCCGGTTTGAATTAGACGGAATCTTCTGAGTTGAATATAGCGGGGCATCTGTGTACACTCAACAAGCTCACACACGAACGTGACAAATTTACACCAGAAAAATAGCGTGGAATGGAGGTGTTTAGAACCCTGCCCAACACAACTACATGTAACAGAAGTGCCAGATCGTCACGAGGAGTAAGGGAGACACAACAAATAGATTATGCCTCAAAACAAACGTCAATACTGGAGTAGAGATAGACATAGGCGTGAGGTAGAAGCCAAGTGAACACCAACAAAATCATATCGAGCGTCTCACGTGCTTTTAGAAAATTGCAAACTGCACAAGACAACTCCATCATGTACTCACAAGTCAGAGACGATATTACTCTCGATCAATCCTTTTCGCCGACAGTATTTGTAAGGATCCCTTTATGACAAACATGTCAGGTCCAGTACAGGAGGTGTTCTACCACTTAGACCTAGAAGAAGCCTTATTTATCCGTGTCCATGGCAACCAAGACGATATTACCCATTATACGCAGACCAGTTTCACTCTGTCACGTGACTGTTTCCATCTTGGCACCACATTACTATTATGTGTGCATATGCATTGAAAATCTAGAAAAGCTATATTATGTCTGCTCACACAAAGAAGTATGCAACTTGTATTAATGAGAAGGTGAAGCACTCTGTTGAACAAATAAACAAAACAAGGGATATAATATAACCTAGCAGGCGGGAGAAGCAGAGTTCTACTGTCAAGATAAACGAAATGGTGAGAATGAAGATTTGTATGACAGAGGACACACTGACCTTGACTTGATCTCTGGGTCAGGAAAATCCATGAACTTCTTAAAATTAATGTTCTGTGGAAAATAGATGGCGAGTTCGCCGTCACGCCATCCTTGAAGTGACAACTGCAGAGCCTGGAGTTATCCATAGGTTCAGAATCTCACCTCCTGTCAAGCAGAAACGATCACGTTTCAAGTACACACACACAACAACGCTGGACAAGAGAATTGTGAACAGGCAACTTTTCTCAATAATAACTGCCCAATGACTCCGAATCTCATTACATGTATGCCCTTCCACCAGCTTGAAGACTCCACAGTTCTCACTTTCCAAATAATTTCAAATTCTTAGCTGCACATACAAATCCACAACGCCCTGAGCTCCTTGTCTTTGGGAAAAACTTGCATCTCTCGCGCAACGACTGGTGATTACAGTTAGGAATCGGCGACCAATGCTCGTCCATTTACAAATACTGCTTTCAGCATTGCTTGGTATTTCAGAGTACTGTAAACCGGAAAGACTAACGACCAAAAAGTTTAACGTTTTTGTAATTTTGTCATGATTACGTGCAGAAAGTGTAGCGATGGCTAGCTGGCCACCCATCAGTATGCACATCTTTACACAGACCTCTAGCGATAACTTTGTTTCGAATAACGAAAAAATTGGCCGTTAAAACGTTAGACTTTGTGACTCGTCAGACTTTCTGGTTTTACAGTATATCGCCAGTTTGAATGCTCGTTCTGCACGTTAATGCTCGTAACCAAAAAGACAATTGTGGGCAAACAGGATCTGGAAGAACGTCATAAATTTCAAAATCGGGTGCAGCATATGACAGTCTGGCAAATATATAATTACTTGCGAGCATTCCTTTTGGGCTTCAATATCAGATTGATTGACGGTGAATGCACGTGTGGTGGGGTAAACAAATCAAGACTATTGACATTGTGTTCTGCCTCTCGTTGTGCAGAATAGAGTATAGACCTCAGTTGTAAGCTCACAGCTCTCTACTCAGCTTCCCATGATTGTACTCTGTTTCGGTACATTTCGTATTTCAAGGCATACCCCGAGGCTATAGGTATCATTGAGTAAAGGACTATTCTGGAACATTCAGCATAATTGTATTTCTCTTGCTAGGCTGTTCATTACGAATCATTAGCCCTCCACTGTCTGCTATCTCAACCCTACAGCCTCCCATTATAAGGGAACTCCCTTCAATTTAGACTACGTCTTTGGGAAATCCTCAAATATAATATAATAAAAAAATAAAATCCTGCAGCATTAGCTTACCTTCGATGCGACCTTTCAGTGTACGTTGCTGGATTTATGAGACTGCCGACTCGGGGAGAAGAATACTCATTCTGGAGCTGCAGATGAGGGTGGGATGTTGAGCACAATCTTCACAGACGTCTGCCAATTGACGATGTTATCATGATCTTTCCACCATGCCAGATGATCAACATTATTGGAAGCATCAACTGCAGCAACCTTGTAGGCGGCTTGGTGAGGCCTGTTTCGCCTACCTGTTCACTATCCCTCTCCTGGTACTGCTTCTATGAGCCGTATGGCGTAACCTCTAGTTCATTAGTCCTTTTATTTACCATGAATATCAACTTTGTTAATTTCATATCCTTTCGTCTGATTCGGTTTGAATTAGACGGAATCTTATGAGTTGAATATACCGCGGAAACTGTGTACACTCGACAGACTCACATGCAAGTACGTGACAAATTGACACAAGGAAAATAGCGTAGAACGGAGGTGTTTAGAACCCTGCCAGACACAGGTAACCGAAGAGTCCGATCACTCACGAGGAGCAAAAAAGCACAAAATAGCTTACGTTTTAAACTCCACGGCAAGACTGGAGCAGAGATAGATATACTTGTAGGTGTGAAGTAGAAGCCAAGTGAACACCAACAAAATCATATCGAGCGTCTAAGGTGCTATAATTATAACAATTGCCAAGTGAACAAGACAATTGCTTCATGTCCTCACAAGTTGGCGACCATTGCTATCTGGACGGCCCAAAATGAAGATGGTATCAACTCCAGAAAGTCTGAACAGGATGTGCTGATTTTTTTACTGCTAATGTACTGCTGTTCAATCTCGATGTGTGAACAATACAACATCAGTCTTGTGTCAGCTGGATATCGGCTGGTATTGCCCTATAGTGGATGCTGTGGTTATGTCAACAATTTTGTCACTTTTTTTCGCAGTCAACATACCCGTACCGCGTGTGCGTGCATAAATTGAACATCCAGATCAGTTTTCATTTCTTTATGGAGAAGTTTTGCTTTATGGAAAAGGAAAGTACATGCTCGTCAAATTGCAACACTACTCTGCAAGACACGGAACGTCGAAAGTACTCCGACGGCTTACAGTTACATGTATATGGAGCTTTGCCAAAGTTTCTAAGTCGCGGAGACATTTCGGCTGCCTGATTCCCAGCGATAATGGACGAGAGTGGATTTGCGCCGAGTAACCAAGCCTGCTCTGCATCAGGGGCCGAGCCTTGCGAGTGTATTTTTGTTGATCACGTCATAGCACGCATGCCGGGTCCAGTACAGGAGGTGTACTACCAGTTAGACCTAGTACAGGCGTTCTTCTTCCGTTTCCATGGCAACCAAGACGATATTGTTCTCCAACAGTCCTGTTCGCCGTACAAATTCATGCTGTCACGTGACTCTATCAGTCCTGGCACTACATTATGGCTACGCGGAAGGTCGGATCGATGTGTTCTGGTGTCCAGTATACCAGACATCATGGGTATATTATCATTGTTTGACGACCTAAATTTTACACAAGAAAGGGACGTCTACTGGACCACGTATGACTTTCTTTGCAGTTCATTTGCTGCGGGATGTACACAGCCCTCCAAATGTACTGGAATCGTGAGGTTTGCTGTAGTGTACCAAGTGGCGGCAGATTACGGCGGCTATCAGCTCACAATCCAACATATTTCTATCGATACTAGAGAGTTCATATGCCCGACATTCGGCTTTACAGATGAAAACATGGGGCTTATTGCCCTTAATCCCTGCAAGTATTTTCTCGGATATTTCCTGTTATCTATCATGTGTGTCCTGGGCTTGATTGAGAAGTCCTGATTGTCCTGAATGTCCTGTTAAAGTACATGTACATGTTTATGCATGAGCCATGCTGATGCGTGACGTCATCAGAGAATCTACATTGTAGATGGAAGGGAAGCATAGCAAGTGTGGACAAGTTAGCATGGAGTTTAGCATAGCGGATACAAGTGTTGTTTCGTATTGTGTCAAGTACCTCATTCTCATAGCGCGTCCGTCCAGGCTGTCGATATTCTCAACATCCCGGCACACCCCCTCCCCGGCCTCTCACCGCCCCCCCCCCCCTCCTACACCAATCACCCCGGATACTCTGCCTAGGACCAGCGTACGTACAGCAGAATTCAGGTCCTGGTTTTCCCGTAGTAGTTTCGCATTACGCCATCGCTGTCTTTTGCCTCATAATTATCGTGAAGAGTGGTGCACATCAAATATTGACTTGTGAGCAACACTGCCTCACACTGCAAAACGTATTTTCACAAATTCATTTCCTAAAGAAACAAAAATTCAACGTTTCGGTCATAAGAATAACCATCATTAGGAAGTGTTGAACATTATTTGTTTTTATGTTTGTCTCCTGCACCACACCTTTATTCCGTGGTAGTGTAGTTCATTAGGCCAGCCATCATCATGGATCCATATGTCAGTGTATGTACCTTGCTCATAGTGCTTGGTCAACTAATCTTGTTGTTGTTGTTTTCTGGTTGTTTTCAGTTGTCTCGTGGCCTTGCCTGGTCCCGGTCTAGTTCTCTCTGATATGAAGCATCCGTGCAGCACTCTCTTCATACATCTGTTTGTGTGGGTGTCCACAGTGGTAATAATTATTGTTAATTTGTGTGGGGGGGGGGGGGGGCGGGGGTGCAGTGGGTACGTATCAAAAGGGCATGGAATTATTTGACGCAAGAAGTTCTGGCCCAAAGAAGGCAATCCACCAAATCCAGACGCCATCCGAAGGTAAACAACATCAGGAGTGTGCAATTTCAACACGTATGGTGTAGTTTCGGTCCACTTTGTGCTGCCTGATATAGGTCCACCTCACTTGTTTTTCTCGTCAATCCTGATCATGGCTCCGGCCAAGAATTGGATTGAGATATTGTAATTAGCAGCGAAGAGACCACTTGATTTACAGATGATGGGTTTTACATAATAGTTATATTATGAACTCTGAAAAACCTTAAAAGATTTTGCACAATGGCAATAAATAAGATAAATTGTGCACTCATAACAACAGCAAAAATGAAGAAAGTCAAGTTCCATAACGTTTTCTTGTGACTGTCATCAGTGGAACAGTCACAAGAAAACGTTATGGAACTTGACTTTCTTCATTTTTGCTGTTGTTATGAGTGCACAATTTATCTTATTTATTGCCATTTTACGACTATTGTCTCCTCGTCGATTGTTTAGATTTTGCACAGTTCATAATATAACTATTATGTTCTTTGTGAACTCGGATGGTGAGCCAATCAATTTATAAGTTTATTATGTTATCGTCCTTCACAAACCTAGCAAACCCTCTGATATATGGATGTACATTTAGTCATTTACAAGTATTGTGAATGCAGCACAGCGGCAGTGGTGAAGAGACCAAAACCTGCTCATCCTACTATACGTCTCCGATTCCTTGCTGGCTGGGAGCAGGGGACTAGAACAAACTTGAGGGCGAAAGAGAAAATTTGTGCTAGAGCATGGCTGGCCCCAAGCGGGTGTACCAGGTGGTGGGAGTCAATTTTGTCAATTTTTTCACGAAGAGGAGGGGGGAGGCCAGTGGAATGCCGTACATGTAAGACTGGTATGAGTGACGGTCAGTGTATGTCGCAGAATGTGTTCTATTCGATTTTTTGTTCCGTTTGTGGAGAGGAGTATGTGGGAGAGACGAAACGATCTGTCAGGGAGCGAGTCCAGGAACATTTAATGAGAAGCAAGAGTCTGTGCACCACTAGAAGGCCTCGGGAGAGCACTACGCATTGCACCAACCACTACAACATCCATCCGCAGCGCCATTCATTCCCTTCACATTAACATCCATACTCGCAAGAGAAATGTCTCCGGAACCGCCGCATAAGGGAGGCAATCGACATATCCAGACGCCACCCGAAGGTAAACAACGAAAGGAGGGTGATATTTCATCACGTATGGTCTAGTTTCATTACACTTTGTGCTGCCTCATTTTCTTTGAGTTCTTTACATTAAAAAATTGTTGGGGTTTTTAGTTGCATTTCTATTATTGATCAAGCTATTAATTGTGCCTGTACAAGAGGCTTGAACTGCAAAGAAGTAATAAGTATGGAGAAATGATGTGATCATCTATCCGGACTCGGTTGCCAATCGCTCTGCTAAGAGCTGCCATAACGTGCATCCACGGTTACTGCTCAGCATACCAATGTCCAGTTAATGCACTCCGAAAGTTGACTGTTGCGGAGGGGCACATGTGAGGTGTTGTTGGTCTTAGTTCTCATGGTTTTAATTGTATTTTAATCTGTATTAAGTGCTGCTGTAGTTTTGGAGTGGTGCTACGAAAACATGACATGCATAGTGTTAATCACGCACGGTTTTTTGTTTCGGGTACATTTTTCCTTTTCTGTTTTATGAGGTTAAATTTGTATTGTATTGTCATCCATTTCGTTCCTTTTGCCTGTAAAGAATGTGAAAGGCTGCTGCGGGTACACGCCGTCACAGATATCACATATACTTCTCCAGAAAACAGAACTAAAACACCTTTTGGTAATCTCATCCTTTTTGTCTTTGTAGGTTAAAATTAGAGAATGCCCTCTTCTGGGTTGAATATACCGGGGCAACTGTGTACATTCAACACACTAACAAACATGTACGTGACAAACTGACTCCAACACAATAGCGAAGAATGCAGGTGTTTAGAACCCTGCCAGACAAAACTAATAGAAGTGCCAGGGCAGTCACGAGCAAAGTAGCTACACAAAAAGCTTATGCTATCAACTACACATCAATACTAGAGTAGAAATAGGCTTAGGTGCGAATTAGAAGCCAAGTGACAGCCAACAACACATCGAGCGTCTAACGTCCCATCTGAAAATTCCCAAACTGCACAAGACAACTCCTTAATAAACTCCGAAGTTAGCTAACGTTTAGTAACTGGGCGGCCTAACTGAACGGATGGCATCAACAAATTAACTCCAGAAAGTCTGAACAGGATGTGCTGACTGTGTAAATGCTAATTTGCTGCTGTTCGATATCGATGTGTGAACAATACAACATCAGTCTTGTGTCAGCTGCAAATCTGCTGGTATTGCCCTACTGTAGATGCTGTGGATCTGTCAGCGATAGCCTTTGTCATTTTTCTCCCCCCCCCCCCCCCAGTTCACAACCGTATCGTGTGTGTGTGCAAAAATTCAACATCCAGATCATTGATACAAAAGAAAAATGGACCAAGGAACTACAGGATACGCTATAATGTCCACTAATACGACCAGTTACTAAACAATCAGCTCATGCTATAACATTGCACGACACTGACCGACGGTACTGACCTTCTACAACTAACTGGCTAACAGCTCT